CTGTAGTTCTTCCTGGTGTTTGATGAATTGATCCTCTGCCAGTATGTTTGTGGTAGTATCTGGTCCCAGATTCCACCTGCCACCTCTGGGGGCGTGGGCAGGGACTGTATTTTCTGTTCTCACCCCGTCTACTCGTCACCGTGCTAGTTGAGCCACTCTGCATTCATTCAGGCTCGTGGCAGCTGCTTCGCAAGTCATGTTGGCACAGGTGGGGCCACTGGGCTAGGTGGGCAGGTCGCAGTTGTGCTGCTGCACTCACTGGGTGGGTTCTGCTTGTGCAGGTGGGGCATCTTCATGTGGGCCAGGTGCTGCGCTTGGTGGGTTGGTCTGGCTGGGCTGCTCTGCTAGGCAGGTGGAGTGTCTTTGCACAGGCTGAGCCACCGCCACTTGGTGGGGAGCGTTCGTGTGGGCAGGGCCGCTGCGGTAGGTGGGAGCACCCATGGGCCAGGCTACCACTCTGAAAGCTTTCTTGTGTGAGCTGGGCTGCCCCTGCCTCCACTCACAGTCACCCAGCCACTGTGTGAGGATCTGAGACCTGTATTGTTGCTGCCAGGGAGGAGGAGGGGTTCCTCCCTTAGTTCTGCTGCTTCCCAGGGGTCTGGTCCACCCACCTTCAGATGTATAGCTACATGGATCTCTCAGGCATCCTGTTGTGTTGTGTAGGGAATCCTCTGTTGGTTAATAGATGTCATTAGTTGTAGCTTAGAGGGGAGAGACAAAGGGAACATCTCACTCCGCCATGATGCTGACATCACTCCTTCAAAGCAAGTTTTCCAGTAAGTTGTAAGCTTTTATTATTTGCAAGCTCAGAATCAGAACACTTGAGTTGTGGACATAACAGTCTGTTGTAATAGGTAGAAACCAGAAATTTGCCCTATAGATAAGGCACTCTTTAAGCCACTGGTTTTCATTTCTACCATTCCATCCAAATTGCCTCTGCATCACTGACCCTTCTTTCTTGGCCCAGTATTTTTCTCAAGTTTTCCATAACACCAGACACTCTTGGTTTTCCTCCTACCTCAATAGACATCTCTTTTTAATCTCCATCGTAAGATACTTCTTGTTTACAACACCTTTATGTTTTTTTAACTTTTCATTTGAAATAATTATAGATTCTAGGAAGTTCCAAAAAAGTATACAGGAAGGCCCATATACCCTTCACCCAGTTTCCTCTAACGCTAACATCTTATGTAACTATAGTGAAGTATCAAAACCGGGAAAATGACATTGATGCAATCTGCAGAGCTTATTCAGGTCTCAGCAGCTGTATATGCACTTGTGTGTGTGTGCATGTGTGTGTGTGTATGTGTAGTTCTATGCAGTTTTGTCACATGTTTAGTTTTGTTTCATCACCACCAGAACTGCTCCATCACCACAAGGCTCTCTTACGCTACCCCTTCATAGCCACCATCCTCTGCCAAACCGTAAACCCTGGCAGCCACTAATCTGCTTTCCATACCTTTAATTTTGTTATTCAGGCATGTTACATACGTGAACACATAACCTTTTGGGATTGTTTTTCTTTCATTCAATGTAATTCCCTGGAGATCCATCAAAGTGGTTGAGTCAGTCAATTGTTCATTCTTTTTGCTGCTGTGTAGTTTTCCATGGCATGGATGTACTACAGTTTGTGTAACCATTCACCTGTTGAAGGACATTTGGGTCATTTCCAGTTTTTGGCTATTATGACTAAAACTCCTGTGAACATTTGTGTCTTTATATGAACTTATGTATTGTATGAGCATAAGTTTTCATTTTCCTGGGTAAATGCCCAAGAGTACAATTGCTGGGTCATATGTTAACTGCATGTTTAGCTTTTTAAGAAACTATTTTCCAGAGAGGCTGTACCATTTTACATTCCTACCAGCAGTGTATAAGTGATCCTGTTTCCCCTCAGCCTTGCCAGCATTTGGTGTTTTTACTTCTTTTTTAGCCATTCTGATAGGTGTGTAGTGATAACTCATTGTGGTTTTAATTTGCATTTCCCTAATGACTAATGATGTGTATATCCTTTCTTGTACTTATTTGCCATCTGTATGTCCCCTTTGGTGAAATGTCTGTTCATATCTTTTGCCCATTTTCTAATGGGATTGTTTGGTTTTTTTGCTGTTGAGCTTTGAGAGTTCTTTATATAGTCTAGATTCCAGACTTTTGTTGGATGTGTGGTTTGCAAATATTTTTTTCCAGTTATAGCTTATCTTTTCTTCCTCTTTACAAGGTGTATTAATTTCCTATGGCTTCTGTAACAAATTAGCACAAACTTGGTGGCTTAAAACAGTACAGGTTGGACCGGTCTGGTGGCTTAGCGGTTAAGTGCGTGTGCTCCGCTACTGGCGGCCCTGGTTCGAATCCCGGGCGCGCACCGACACACTGCTTCTCCGGCCATGCTGAGGCCGCATCCCACATACAGCAACTGGAAGGATGTGCAGCTGTGACATGCAACTGTCTGCTGGGGCTTTGAGGCAAAAAATAAATAAAAAATTATAAAAACAAAACAAAACAAAACAAAACAAAACAAAACAAAAAAACCCAAAAAACAGCACAGGTTTATCCTCTTAAGAGTTCTGGCGGCCAGGAGTCTCAAATCAGTTTCACTTGGCCAGAAACAATGTCAGCAGGGCTGTGCGCCCTCTGGAGGCTCTAGAGGAGACTACATTTCCTTGCCTTTTCCAGCTTCTAGAGCAACATTCCTTGCTTGGCTCATGGCCCCTTCCTCCATCTTCAAAGCCAACAGTGTAGCATCTTCAAAACTCTCTCTCTGCCTCTCTCTTATAAGGACACTTGTGGTTGCAATTAGGGCCACCTGAATAATCTAAGATAATTTCCCTATCTCAAGATCCTCGACAAATATTTGTTGGATGAATAAATGATTTATCTCTTGTGTGTCCCTGGGGTTGTATATAATCCTAAGCTTGTTTTAAATAACCTTCTTAGTGTGATGATTGCCTTAACTGCACTGGTACTTAGCATCGCCATCCTTCCCGGCTGTCTGTCCTCCTGGTTTTCTTTTCCATAGTAGCTTATGGTGCATTTGTATATTTATTTGTATATATTCACGAAACGTTGGAACTCTTCTTTTGAACTGTGCATAAACTGGGCGTGCTTTAACCATTTTTACAGAACTCAGACAGAACTCGCCTATGGGTAGTTCATGACACGGGCCTGAAGAATGCAGTCTTATTGCTTCAGATACTGTCTCCTCAGATCTCCCCATGCCCAGCTCTATCCCACCACCCGGAGGAGAAAGGAGAGGTGCAGTTGGCTACCACTACGTGCTTCTCCATTCACCTCTATTGGCTACGTGAGAAGTTAAGTGTCCGTTGAGCATGGTTCAAGTAGCTAAGGAACCTGTGTTAGCATTATGGTAGGAAGTTATTGCTGCTATAAATACGGTGTTGCTGGGAGTAAGAGGCTGTGCAGGGGATGGAGCACAGTGTTTTCAGCAGTGCCTTCAACTTTGCACTCTGTATGCCCTGTGGTGTGTGTAAATACCTAAATGGGAATGTAGTCTTCCAGAGTGTCTTCAGGCCTGCCGAAATAAGACATGCCGTGTCTGTCTAGAGACAGCTGTACTTGGACTGCTGTGAGATGGAAATGATCATATACTAGTCCAATGGCTGCGTGCTTCCTTTCCTTTCTCTCAGCGGCAGGGTCAGGGAGCACCCAGATATAGCCTCCTGCTTCTGCTCCCCGCCCGAAGGAGTGTTCTTTAACCATCCTGGGCCCCAGAGCTGCTGGGGTTCACTCAGCCACAGGGCTAGAAGAAAAATGGACAGCTGGTGATAGAGGGGAGGCTCTGTGAATATAATAATTGATTTGCCATTCCTGGGACGGTGGTGGTGGAAGTGTTCCTAAACTTATTTTTCTCCTTTATATTTTCCAGTTCAAGTATACTTTCCACACAGTGTCAAGCACAGGTCTTAAATACAACGTTCATTCAGTTTTGAATGATGCAAACGTCTGTGTAACCAGCACCCTTTTCAAGATAAAGTTTTCATCACCCCAGAAAATTTCCTTGTTCCTTTTCCAATCAATCTACACATCCCCTTCCACAAAGCAACCACTGTTCCAGTTTCTATCATTGTAGTTTAGTTTTGTCTATTCTGGGACTTCCCATGAAGGGGATCACATAGGATGTGACTTCCTTTACCCAGCGTGTCTGAGATTCTTCCATGCTGTGTGTGTATAAGTATTATGTTCCTTTTTATTGCTGAGTAGTATTCCACTTGTGAATATGCCACAGTTTGTTTATCCATTCTTTTGTTGATGGACACCTGTGCTGTTTCCAGATTTTGACTATTATGAACATTCTTTTTCAAGGTTTTTTTAATGGACATATATTCCCTGCTGTTAAATAGATGCTTAGGAGTAGAATTTATGCATAGGCTATATATATGTTTACTTTTTAAAGAAACTTCCAACATGTTCTTCAACGTGGTGGTGCCATTTTTATATAGAGTGCTCCTAAACTTTTATTCTGTCACTTAGAGTGGGAATTTGGGGCACAGGGAGACATCCAGTCTGGTCACCTTTGTGCTGTTGGAACTGTGGAGGGATGTTTCCTATCATTTTTAGAGAAACAAAAAAAATTTAAGCAAATAGAATTTCCACAAGGAAAGAATTTTAATAAAGAACTTATAAATGTTATTTATTCTGCCTCTTTGCAGGTGTATATACTCTCTGAAAAGGTCCATAGACCCTGACAGTTTAGGAACAAGAGTCAATAACAGTCTTTTGATCGCCTCTGCTTCCGATGAGAAGAAGAAATCAGGGGGCTCAGGACGTACTCAAGGGGATTTGTTCCTGAGTCTCCCTCAATATGGACACGACAGAGAACAAGGCACTAACCATTGAACTGTATTTGAGAAAAGGGAAAGCTTAGCTACATTTCTTTGTTCTGGTGTTTACACATGTCTAGCCTGCTGATGCTGCATCCGTTTCTTTCCTATGTAGTCTTTTCAAGGACTGAACATATGTCTTCGACTTTCTATGTCTTTCAGGCCAAAGAAGCCTTAGAAAATACTGAAGTTCCTGTTGGCTGCCTTATGGTCTACAACAATGAAGTTGTGGGGAAGGGAAGAAATGAAGTTAATCAAACCAAAAATGTATGTGAGTCGAATAGTATAATTGCAAACATCGGCAGTGATGGTGGGCGTGGAGTGAATTTACCACAGAAGATGGGTCTGTGTCGAGGCCCGTAGGTATCAATGGAAAGGTAGTTTCCCTAAACATCTCTTTTTTTGAATGCCTTCTTTTCTGATTATAAAAGTGATACGTGTTGATTTTTTTTTAATTTGGAAAATTCAGAAAAATTTAATGAAGCAATAAAGTCTTTGGGGCTAATTTTCTATTTCATGGAGTTTCACTTTAACACTTGAGTAAAACCCAAGAGGGGATTTTATTACATCAGAGTGTCAGTATGGAACAACTGAGTCTATCTCCATTATAAGCAAATCTAGTATATGAAAATTCCACTTTATAAAACACGTCAATTTAACTTGTATGGCATTCTTTACTACCTTTAAATAGTATGTTCCTCCTAGTAAATTAAAAAATCACCCTCAATTTATAATTTTGGAGATATAAAAGGATTGTATAAAGGAAACTATTCCTATATCAGATAATTCAATGGAATAAAGTCTCCACCTCCTGCTACCTCTGTACTTACGTGTAGTATGTACACTTTAGTAGCTTGTGTGACTTTTAATTTATTGTGGTTAGATTGAGAAGTTCGTGAATTAAGGCAACACTTCTTAAACATGGTGTCACAACAGTGTGTCACAGTAAGTGTAAACGAAGTATCAAATTTTGTGGTTCTCAGAAGCACTAGGTGGCCTCAAGGATAGCTTATAACCGAAACACCACTCACACAGACTTGGGTCTTATCATGCGATCTTGGGAGCCAGAGAACAAGCTGGTGTTGGGCTGGTGCTGTGTGGACTTAAAAGTTCATCCATCACATCTATCAAAAAGAAGACTGAGATTTAGGGAAGAACATGCAAAGTAGGAACCCAGATTCACAAAGCCATTATTATGTGGATATCAAAAAACTTGTGAGATAAGTAATCAGCATAATACGGCAATTAGTGAATATACAGATACTTATTTGGGAGTGGAATTCTGTGTTTTAAGTAATTGTCATATCTCCTATTTGTATTTTGTGGCCTGGTGCGGTATCTTTGATGTGAGAACTTTGAACGTCCTAACAACATCCATCTAACCTCCCAGTGATCTGGGTTTCTTTTCTACCTTGAAATTAACCTGGATTGATTTTGATATTCTGTGTCCTATAGCAGATTACCCCATAAACATGGTATAGAAAGACTCTTGACTCCACATGAAGCTCCCTGAGTCCTGTTTTTGGCTCTGAAACCACCCTCACCCCCTGTCATCACCACCATCACCTCTCCCAGCTGTGTGTCTTTAATACGTCCTGACTTGTCTTAGCTTCTGGTTCTCAGCGGTAAAAGAGGAAGCTGATTGAGATGATTCACTTCAACAATTATTTATTGAGAACTATGGGGAGATTTGATTCAGGAATTCTGAATCTGATTTTTTAAAAGCACTCAAGTTGGGGGAACTTTTTTTCTTTAAGCTCCGCAGTTGGTTCTGGAATGCAGCCAGGGTTGGGAACCTCTTCTCTAAAGTACCTTCCAGCTCTGAGTTTATAATTCTGGAGCATCGCCTCCACCTGGCTCTGGATTCCATGGCACCTTGGGTCGCTGTGCCAGCACTTTTCACACTCTGCTCTGTCACAGGTAAAGGAACACCTTTCTGTTTGCCCCACCAGATTTGATGTGTGTTGAGAACAGAGACTTCTTATCCCACATGGAATTTAGCACAGTGGCTTGTACATAGCCCTCAGTGTAAATTTGTTGACGAATGTGATTATCATGGATATCATAAATAGTTATCGCATAGCAGAGTACATGTATAGCATTATGTGGTGTGATGCTTCATGTGATTCAGATTGCTTTGAGATGTAGATTCCACTCAATCCCATTTTACATACATGTGGGGAAATCAAGGCTTGGAGAAGTTATGTAACTTGCCCAAGTCACATAATTAGGAATGTCGTTGTCAGGATTCAAATATAAGTGGTTGATTCCAAATACTGTGTGATTTCTCCTATGCTCTGCTGCCTCCCAGGAGGTCTCTGAGACCCACACCGAATCTCTGCTTCTCTCTCTAGGGTCTGCCGGTATATAAAATCTTGTCCCAAAGAAAGTGTAAGTGATGACATTCTGGTAAACTAAAGACAGATTTGCCAAGAGTGAGGTCAGTGATGGCCTTGAAAACACATTAGAAACTGGAGCACAGGCTTATGGAAATTTCAAGCCTCCCCTAAAATATTCAGAAACATAGATTCACGTTTTTTTTTTTGCAAGACTTGTCTTCTCTATGGCATTTTAATTGAGAGAGTATCCCCTATGGTCCTTAGCTGAAAATATAGGATAATTCTTATGGCATCTCAGATTAGGTGTCTTTCATTGGTAAAGTTATGGTACTTGAATTGGGAAATACCTTGTCAGTTGCTAAGGGTGAAGCCTTTACTCGTTGAAATGTTGGCAGGAACTATAGGCCCATGAAAAAAATACATATTTTTCATATTTGTAAAATGCAGTTACATGTAGCAAACAATGTCACTGTGAGCACCTCTCTCTTTTCAGGCTACTCGACATGCAGAAATGGTGGCCATCGATCAGGCCCTAGATTGGTGTCATCGGAGTGGCAAGAGTCCTTCTGAAGTGTTTGAGCACACTGTGCTGTACGTCACCGTGGAGCCCTGTGTCATGTGCGCGGCTGCTCTCCGCCTGATGAGTATCCTTTGGCTTCCTAGGCTAACGTCCTGTACCCTTCCCATGGACGCGAACATGGCCCAACACGTGACCTGTTTCTAATATATGAAAACAGAGATTTATGAAACAAATTATAGGAGGTCCACGTTATAAAATACAGTATCCCATGGCCAAAAAAATTTTTAGGAAAGATTTTTGAATAATTAAATTACTTTATTTTTATTCAACAAACATATAACTATTAAACAAATAAGCTAGAGAAAGAAAAGCTGAGAACTAACTTAAACTGTTCTTTAAAGCAAAATCGTAAATGAAGTTAAAGTAGGTTATAAAACAGTGTACATAGGAAAAGATCTGAAGACTGTGCACCCCAGTTTTGCCTTTGGATAATAGATTATAGGTGATTTAAAAATTTTCTTTCTCTGTTTTTGTGTTTTTATTTGTTTATTTTTGCTATGAACATCTATGGTAATGTAGGAAAAATTTTAAGTCAGGAGTAAATACAAAGTAAGCAAATAATTTATAATATTATCATTGTAAATAAATGGGAAATTGACTAAGTTACAGCTCTCTGAATTGTGTCTTTCAGAGTAAGTGACACAGTGAGTGCAGCAAGTTAGTTTCTAAAGATCTTTCATTTGATAATTCAAAAACTCAGTTTCGTAGTTGCATATTTTCTATGTACTTATTTTGCTGTGTATGTGTGAATAGTTTTATCACTTTAAAAATAAGACAGGGGATTTTGAGTATAACATATACGCTCTATAAAGAAGGGAGTTATGGTCGACTTAGAATTCTCTCCCTTCCTGCCTAACAGAGTGGCTCAGTTTTAGTGTGTTTTGTGTTGGGCCACAGGTTATACTTGATTTGGGGAAAGAACAGGGAACAATCTGTTATTATGAAAAGATGAAAATTCATGGATTAAATTCCTGCCTTTTTTCTGGCTCCAATTCTCTAACAATTCCAAAAAAATGATTTAGGAAAGACCAGAGTGAGCAAACAGTGAACATTTACCAACTACATATTCACTTTTTATTCTCCTTGCAATTGTGAGATGTTAATTTCTAAATCCTTTAAACCTCTTTCTTTTGTGTAACTGGGTTGTATGATTTTTAGGACTAAGCCTAAGCTTAATTATTTTTAAGAGTATCATGAGTTTTTTCTCCAGGATGGCTGGTATAAACTTACCCTGGTTTTGTCACAATACACACTGGAACGGCACGTTCTCTGCGGGACCTTAATTCTTTCTTATAAATTCCACTGGTTGTATATGGCTGTCAGAATGAACGATTTGGTGGTTGTGGCTCTGTTCTAAACATCGCCTCTGCTGACTTACCGAATACTGGGAGACCTTTTCAGGTAATGTGACCAGCGTATGCTTTTTCTTTCTTTCTAATTACTTCAATCTCATTATGGGCTTGGGAAGAGTTAGCATGTGCTCAGTATACCAAAAAGCCGTGCTAGAACCAGACAGACCCTCATATCCTCTGGTCGGGTTCATTTATGCTGCAGTAGAAGACGACAGGGAATCATTTCCAGGTGGAAATGAACAGACTCTCTCCTGAAGGAGAGTCCCTAGCTTTCCGAGGTATCTGCTGACAGTCTTCACCCACGGCTTCAGATATGTTTGAAGACACTACCGCTCTTGGTGTTTCCACTCAATGAGTGTCCCCTGCTGCATGCTGTACCAATTTCGTGTGAAGCCTGGCCTCTGTCAGTGACAGTAGATGCTATTTATGGTGAACACATTATTTTTGCACACATTCAATCATTTTGCTTAATTGCCATGTACTGTTTTTGTTGTCTAGCAACCAATACCTGTATTTTCATTAATTTTTTCCTTCCTTTTTAATGTTGAAATTTCCCGCAGACCCAAAGATCCACATTTCTTTCATGTTCTCTTAGAAATTCTACTTTCCCTTTAATCTTGCCACTTCTCCCAAAGTTTTTATGTTTAAGGCTATGAGCCGTAGAAATTTATATTTCAGAGTTTGGCCAGTAGACTCATACCAGTTTTCATAAACCAGTTCGATTGTTTTTCTCTCCAAGATGTAAGGTTAATCCTAAAAGTATTATGCTTTAAAAAGAAAAGGATTTAACAAATGCTGGAAGTGGTGGGCAGTTAGCTTCAGAGACCTCGGATATTCTTAGGAGAATATTCACTACCTATGAAGGGCTAAATTTGGCTGAATCCCACTGAGAACAAGTTTTGGAAAACATTCTATTTTGAGTTTTCCCAGCTGAACATTGGCTTTCCTCACAACTCCTGTACATTTGAGAATAGATGACCTTTAACATCACATCAGAAAGGAAATTGTAGTAGAGTGATGGAGAGTCAACGATACACTTAGCTTGATCATTAAAAAACCTGCAAAGTGATTTGACTTTTCCAATCCCTTCTATTAGTGGCTTAAATTTTACTTTCATAACTCTTTGCAAGTGAATTGCTGACTCTGTACTTCATTTATGAGAAAGACCTAAAGAATTTCTCAAAACTTCTGGGCAGAACAAAGACGAGGCCTGGGCTACAGACATGGGTGGAACATTCCTTTCCAACATGTCAGTGACATTGAGTGCACAAACACAGCCCTCTCCTGCACATCCCTGCACAGAGTTGATCTGGCTGAACCAAAATGTGAGTTCATTTGCAGTGTGTCTACCTGGCTCCATTGGCTCCATTGATATGAATGGCCATGGTTTGAAGCCATATCTCCAGACTTGATGCCAAATTGTTTTTTAAGTGTTTTGTGATTCTAAAGAAAACATTGATACCCCAGGCTTCCGGATGCTGTGTTTTCTTCCTTTGTTTGGCTGGGTCGGGTAGGGGTTTGTAGGAGGTGGGAGGCTGTTTTCGTATTGCAGAATTACAGATTCTTTTAATACTATATTATAAGCAGCATGAAAGTTTACAGAGGAGACCTACAGAACTATTCTTTTCAAAGAAGATGGTGATTAATGTATAATACTTACCTGCTCTGTGTTTTAAAATTTATTTTAATAAGAATGTGTGCTTTTTATTAAAACCACAAATTTGTAGCTGTGATGAATACTTGAGAAGATTATCCTGGTATCTTAGAGAGATGAAGTTTCCATCTCCACCTGTAAGTCAGTGGTTCTCATCCCTGAGAGTTAGAATCATCTGGAGAGCCTTTATGAATGCCTGTGCTCAGTCTCCAACCTAGACCAACCGAATCAGAAGGCAGTCGGGGTGGGACGGGAACATTAGTATTTTTCTAGAGAGCTCCCAAGTGATTCTACTGATCAACCAAGGCTGAGAACCGTGGTTCTAACTCCACATGAGAGGAGAGCACTTCGTGCACATGGGTACTTGTGAGAGAGCCAGAGGAGAGGTGGGGTCCCTGGGGAACAGGAACATTAACACAGCAGGAAGAGAAGGGGAGTGACCAACGTTGGTTAGCACGCTGAAGTATTGAGAAGCCAAGGGAGGAGAGAGTTCTGAAGAGAAGCACGTAGAGTCAGCAGTCTCCGCGGCTGCAGAGCTGAGGAGGACAGAGAGGAGACCAGTGTTTGGTCGACAGGGGCCCTTGGGGTGTCTGAGAGGGCAGCTTCCCTGGAGTCCTGGGAGCACAAGCCAGCGAGGATGGGGTTAAGAAGGAAATGAGAGCAACAGAAGTGACGGCCATGATTCTGGAATGTTCTCACGGAGAAGCAGGGGAGCAGCTTGCCTGGGGGGCAGGGTAGAAGGAAGGTTATTGTTTTGTTTTCCCAGCTTTATTGAGATATAATTGACGTAGAACACTGTGTAAGTTTAAGGTGTACAACGTGATGATTTGATACTCGTATATATTGTGAAATGTTTACCAAAATAAGGTTATTTAACACATCCTTCACCTCACATAATTACCATTGTGGTGGTGGTGGTGTTATGGTGAGAATATTTAAGCTCTACTCTCATAGCGACTTTCAAGTGTACAATACGATATTATTAACTGTCGTCACCATGCTGTACCTTAGATTCCTGGAACTTATTCCTCTTATAACTAAAAGTTTGTACCCTTTGGCCAGTGTCTCCCCATTTCCCCCCCGCCGCCTCCACCCCTGGCAGCCACCATTCTACTCTCCACTTCTATAAGGAAAATTTGGTATGTACACACACAGTGGAATATTGTTCGGCCGTAAAAAAAGGAAATCCTGGCATTTGTGACAACATGGATGGACCTTGACGGCATTATGCCAAGTGTAATAAGTCAGAGAAAGACAAATACTGTATGATCTCACTTATATGTGGAACCTAAAAACATCAAACTCGTAGAAGGTTATTTGTTTTGATGGGGAAGGTTTATGCAGGCTTTGTAGGCCTAGGCAAGGGCCCAGTGGGGGCACAAGAGAAAGGAGACTCGCTCTGAGCAGCGGCCCAGAGTGGCCAGTTCACCAGGCCCCTGAGGTGGTGCTCGCTGACTCCTTCCTCTCCTGTGCCCTGCTTCTGGACGTGCTTCCCTGGATTCTCCGTTCATTGCATCATTTCACGCACCTCAGAAGGGTGCAGTGTTTCAAGTCCAAACTCCTGTGACAAGCCTTCAGAGCCCTAGATATTTGACTTCATTTTCTCTCTTTAATTTCTTTCCTTAGACTCTCTTAATAATCACCCGCCCCCGAGCTTACGCACAACCCAAGCCTATTCTTACTTGTTCCCTGAAACGCTCTGCTCAGTCTCTCAGTATTCTCTATCATTAAGGCAAGGTCAAGTTTCATCTCCTTACTGTTATCACAATTTCTTATTCTTTCATGTGTTGATCTCTTCTTTCCAGTTAGATACCAAAGATAGAACAAACTGAACACTTACAAAAAAATTCTCTATAGTAAGAATCGACAAATTTTTTCTGAAAAGAGCCTGATACTACATGTTTTAGCCTTTGTGAGCCATTCATGTCTCTGTCGCATATTCTTCTTTTTTTTTTTTTTTTTTTTTTTAATAGCTCTACCAAACTCCCAGCAGTTACTTTTTTTTTTTTTTTGTGAGGAAGATCAGCCCTGAGCTAACATCCATGCTAATCCTCCTCTTTTTGCTGAGGAAGACTGGCTCTGAGCTAACATCTATTGCCAATCCTCCTCCTTTTTTTTCCCCCAAAGCCCCAGTAGATAGCTGTATGTCGTAGTTGCACATCCTTCTAGTTGCTGTATGTGGGACGCGGCCTCAGCATGGCCGGAGAAGCGGTGTGTTGGTGCGCGCCCGGGATCCGAACCTGGGCCGCCAGTAGCGGAGCGTGCGCACTTAACCGCTAAGCCACGGGGCCGGCCCCTCTTCTTTTTTCTTTAACAATCCTTTAGAAATAGAAAAACCATTCTCAGCTGACCATTTGTGGCTGTGGACTGCCAACCCTAGCTCTAGAGCATTAGACACCCAGTGGGCCATCAGAAAATAACAGCTGGTAAAAAGAGCTAATGCTTAATGAGCACTTATGATGTCAGGTACTGAACAGATGTTATTTTATTTAATCTCGTTTAATCCTCACAAAATCCTTCTGGGTTATTTGCTATAATTACCTACATTTTACAAATGAGGAGGCTCAGGCATAGAGAGTTTAACTATCTTACCCAAGATCACGTAGCTAGTAACTTCAGTAGTAGTTGATTGAGAAATCATAATTAGTTGATTGAGATTGATGTCCGATTGAGGCCATACTTCTGTTCGTTTGGCAGTATACTACCTTACCCACGTTATTAATATGCACAAAGTGTATTAAAGGTATCTGAGATATGTTTACATAATTATGTGTGTATTGCTGTTTTTATGGGATACAACACACATTTTCATAGGCCTGTGTTCATTCTCCACTTTCTCATTTCATCAGTGCGTTCCTGGATATCGGGCCGAGGAAGCAGTGGAGATGTTAAAGACCTTCTACAAACAGGAAAATCCAAACGGTCAGTTTCCCCTACTGTATACAGTGCACGTCACTTAAAACAAGTCAGTAGGAAGAGAGTCTGACATGGGCTTAGCTCTTCATTTTCTCCTTTTCTTTTCTCTTCTTTTCACAGCACCAAAATCAAAAGTTCGGAAAAAGGAATGTCAGAAATCCTGAACTTGTTCTGATGAAAGTCTGATGCCCCTGGACGACATTCTTGGACTGAAAGCTGTTGACGTTGTTGAATCACATGTTTCTATATTGTCCTTAACCCATGGGAAAATGGTCTCTCATCATTTGCTCTGTTAAGAGTACAAATTAGCACTTTTTAAAAAGTCTGACAGTTGTAAAAAACTATGAGCTTTTCCACACACTGAAAGAACATTTTAAGAATGGGAAAAATTAAAGATTGAGGTTTTAGAAATTAGTAAGCTGTGCATGCACTTCCTGCCAAAACCATTATGCCCAGTGCAGGAAAGTGCTGGCTTTCAGAGAAGGTGCCCCCAGACCCAGTTACCTGGCGTGTGTCTGGGCTGGAGTGTGGCACGCTGCAGACACCTGCTCCCGGCCTGGTATTTCAGAATCGAATTCTTCATTCTTTGCAGCCACTGTGTTCTTCGGGGTGTTGGGGGCCTGTGACTTCCTTGGAAGTTGTATATGAATTATATACATACAGACCATGATTACATGGTTCTTAGAACAGACTTTTTGCTTTTATAAAGCATTTAGAGAAAATGCATACTTTTAAAACAAGTGCTTAAGTGCCATTTTTAAATTACAGCATATTGCTATAATAAAATTTATTTATGCCTTCTTTGAAGACAAATAGTCTTGAAAATAAAAGATAAAAGCATAAATGGGACAATTCCTTCTATGTTAGTGAGTATGCTGTGCCAGGCTCTGCTTGTTCATCAAATCAGTGAACAAAACAAAGAATCCTGCAGTAGTGGAGCTTCTGTCCTAGCAGGGGAGACCGATAATAAACAAAATAGATTACACAGTGTGTCAGAGCGTGGTGAGAATTATGGCAAAAGGAAAGAACAGGGCAAAGGGTGGTGGGAATGCTGGTTGCAGAATTAAATAGGATGGTTAGTTTAATCTGGAATCAAATACAGTTATTTATTTTTATAAAAATCCAGGTTTAGAATTTAAAATCTAAAATTTAAAAATGTGAATGCAACCCTGGAAAGGGTATCCACAGCAGGGAGTCCCAGATACTCCTGCTTACTGACGGCAGAAAGGGTTAGTTAGCTCTGAGCAAAGTGCTGCTTTGCAGAGCCGTGCTGGGTGCACCGCGTCTGCCCAGAAGGGGGCCTCGCCGTTCCACCAGAAGCCCAGCTCCGGGCCCAGGAGGGCAGCTCCTTCTCCGTTGCATTTCTTCAGTGGATTCATTTGCTTGATGCAAAGCATCTGTATTTGTTGATTCTGCTGTTTGAGCGATGTCTCTGACTTGTTTGTTTTGAATTACATTACAGGCTGGAATGTAATTGTGGTGAAAGTATTTTTATATTGCTGAGAGTAGCAGCTAATCACAGTTACATGCTTCAGAGGGTTTGTAATTGCTGGGTTTTGTACGTGTGTTTTTAAGTGCATTTGAGAAGTTTTATGGAGAAGAACGTGCATGATTTTAAATCTATAATAATGTTAACGTGTACCTTCTCTTCGATTTCACCTACTTTCAAAATTATCTTCTCATTAAATTTTAGTGCTTTGACTAGTTTATTCCTTTTTCAGTTGATCATAATTCATTTCTGACTCCTTATGCTTTTCTGCAAGCAGACTTCATTGCACTCATTGTCCTCAGATCATTTTCTCGGGGATTATTTGTAGACAAGGTACCTGGAATCCTGATCCTCTGCAGAGTACCCCCCAGGAAGGCTGGCTAAGCATCTTATGCCAAGTAGGTTTTTGATAAATGTTTGTTAAGTAAAATTATTGATTGAAATTTGGAGAAAAGTGAATAATAAGGAGAATATCTAGGATAAAAAGCCAAAGCCAACAATAGTTATATGTATTTTAACCCAGCAATAGTCACTACTAAAAGGATCAAGAAAATAATAAAACTATAAATAGAGAAGAATATAAAACTATAAATAGAAAAGACTTATCAATATACATATGTTCTGGGCCGGCCCCGTGGCTTAGCGGTTGGGTGCGTGCGCTCTGCTGCTGACGGCTCGGGTTCGGATCCCGGGCGAGCACCGATGCACTACTTCTCCGGCCATGCTGGGGCCGCGTCCCACATACAGCAACTAGAAGGATGTGCAGCTATGACAGACACTATCTACTGGGGCTTTGGGGGAAAATAAATAAATAAATAAAATTAAAAAATATATATATATACATATGTTCTGTCTTGGCTGTGTTTTGGAGAATGGCTAAGTATTTCCTAATTCCTAAGCATGGCTGAAAATTTTAATTTTGGTTATGACCTTTTTGATTTTCTGTCCAGTGATTGACTTACAGAAAAGTCTCTTCTAAATTTTTGGTCTTGGGCACGGTTCCCTCCATTGCTTTGGGGGAAAATCAGTTTAGACAGAGTATTGCAAGCTGGAGCTCAGCCCCTCCAGGGCTGATACACGACCATTGTGGGGTCATAGACATTAAGGCTGTGGGATTCTGACAGCAGTTTCGAAGTAGTGGCGAGAGTTGTGGACATATGATGAGGTGATCTTGCTTCCTGAGGACCATATTCTCCAATTACTGAGACATGGCTTAAAATATTAAGATGCTCCAGTTCAAAACATTGAATCCAATTGATTGATACTAGTAGTGCCTAAGAGACTGGCTGAGAGACTTGTTTTGTGTATGAGATAATTCTGCAAGTTGTGAGATGCAAACAGGTTTTAGAATCACAGCCCTGTTTAGAGAAGTTAGTGGGAAGTCATTGCATCTAAGTTGCATCCAGTGTTTGCTGGTTTTTGCAACGGTCTCTGCTGAGAATGGGTGGTATGTTACGCTTTGGCAGCCTTCAATCACTGATAAAAGATCATGTTAAAATATCTTTGCACTTTTTTGTTACTTGGCACAAGCATCTCTTCCTGTGTTGTATTTGGAATATCATAGAGAGAAAATAGGGCCAAGAACTCCAATGTAGGCAAGAACTGTTAATTTTTCTTTAAACTCTATTTGGAGATAATTTCAGACTTACAGAAAAGTTGCAAAAATACCCGTATATCCCTTATTTGTTAAACCTACTGTTAACATTTTACGCCTTTAGCTTTATCATTTGCTCTCTCTTTATTATCTTCTCTCTGTCTGTCTGTCTCTCTCTATATAATTGTTTTTCTGAACCATTTGGTGGAAAGTTACATACATCATGGCCCTTTACCCTGAAATGTTTCAGTATTTCCTAAGCATAGGATATTCTTTTATATGATTGCAGTGTGGTTATTGACTGCAGTAAATGTAGCATGGACACAGTACTTTTGTCTAATATGCCATTCGTATTCCCGTTTTGTCAGTTGACCCCATAATGTCCTTTAGAGAATTTCCTCCACCCCCCTGGCAATACTGGATCCATCCTAGGGCCAGGTATCGCATTTAGTTGTGGGGTATCTTTAGCTTCTTTTAATCTAGACTATTTCTACAGCTTTTCTTTGTCTTTTATGACATTGACATTTTTAAAAATAATACAGTCCTTCTGCCCCTCCTGCCCTACTTTTTCGTTGTCTTTTTTTTTTTTTGTGATGGTGTTTTCTCATGATTAGATTCAGGTTTTGTATTCTAGGTGGTGTTATGTTCTTCTTGGACTATACATCTGGAGGTGTCCAAAGGCCGTCTGTCCCTCACTGGTGATGTTAATTTTGGTCACCTGGTCAAGGTGTTATCTGATTTTTGCACTATATAATTGTTATATTTTTCTCCCTTGCAACAAATAAGCAGTCTGGGGAGAGGAACCATTATATATTTTTTTTTTGCTGAGGAAGATTGGCCCTGAGCTAACATCTGTGCCCATCTTCCTCTATTTTGTATGTGGGACGCCGCCACAGCATGGCTTGATGAGCGTTGCATTGGCTGGGATTTGAACCTGCGAACTCCAGGCCGCCAAAGCAGAGAGCACAGACTTAACCACTGTGCCACTAGGCCGGCTCTGAACCATTACATTTTTAAAAGAAAATGTATTTGACGTTGATAGAAAGGAGGGGAAGAAAACTAGTGATATAAATTTCAAAGCAACTGTTAAATTATTTGATTGCATTCTTCCTCTTTTATTACGTCAGCCAAAATTTACAAATTTCTTTTCCTAATAAGAATATTTTAAATAGGGATATCTTAATAAATATTAAAGGAAGCCTCAGAAATAAGTTCTCTCCTGATCTTTTCCTCAGCAAAACCAATGATTATATCAATCTAATTATATCTGATAAGATAGAGTTTTGGAAAAATAGGTCTAAGATGTTTCTGGTATCACAGATAGCCTATAGTGATCCACTAGGAGGTATAACTCTTGGTAGGTAGTCATTTGGCTGTAAAATATGGGTTCTTTTGGGTTTCCATAGAGATATCGAGACTTGAAATGTTTTAAGCACTGCTGCTTTCAAAATGAGTGTCAGTAAAAATAGCAAAAGCCAAGACTCTTTTAAAAAAAAAAAATCATTAAATTTTTTTTAAAGTAGTGAGGTTCCTGGTTAAGAATCCATGTTGAAGCCAAAGCTTGTCCTTCCCAGTCATTCTGCATCAACTGGCCTTAAATAGCCCCCTGAGAAGAGACATCAAGAACTGGTTTCCCTGCCTTTTGGCTAAGGAAGGAGACTATGTTGAGTTCATCTATGAAGACAACCGCCAGCTATTTTCTTAGTCCATAAATTGTTAATTGTGTGTGGCGAGGAAAGGGGTGATGGGTGACGTTATTTTTATGGGTCAGGCTGGCCTAAGTTCTGGTGAAAGTTTGACATCTTTAGGACCTTTTGTTTTTTCAAGTTGAGCTAATAAAAAGAGGCTCATGGGATTATTTCTCACCTGATTTTAAGTGAGTATTGGGATCACCCCCACGTGTGCGTGACCATTAGGAAGACTTTGTGGTGTGGTTGAAGAAGCATGAACTTGGGCGTCAGAGCACGAGTCAGCTAACTACGGCCCATGGGCCAAACCCAGCCTGCTGCCTGTTTTGGTATCACTCACAAATTAAACATGGTTTTACATTTTTAAATAGTTGAAAAAAATCAAAAGAAGAATTTATTAACCCATGGATATGGTATGAAATTCACATTTCAGTGTCTATAAGTTGTTCTGTTGGCACACAGCCACGCCCATTTGTTTTCCTATCGCCCATGGCTGCTTTGTGCTACGATGGCGGAGTCGTGGTGACTGAGACCTGTAGCCACTAAAAATATTTAGTGTCTGGTGCTTTAAGAGAACTTTTGCTGTCCCCCCCCCACCCGCCGGTCTA